TAAACGAATATTAATCTGATGCTCGCTAGTGACTACTTACAGGATGGAGTTTCCTGGATTCAGTTCTTGTGAGAAGTCATGATCAGTGAGGTGGTCCATCCAGATGTCACGTGTGAGGATGGATGTCCCACCTACGACAGTGGTTGGTGCCAGTAGCGCTAAATCACGAATTGGTCGAATTTAGAATTCATGGACTGGCTGGCCATTTAATTAGGTCCCAGTGAGTGGCTAAATGCTACACGAGCCAGCTAGCTTGCTGGCCTTGTAACCGGAAGTTCCTGGGTTCGAGCTGCCTGTGGTGGGTGCGTACTTCCGATGATTCCCAAACTACTGTTAAACTGTGTAGATTGTGAATAGCGAATTAAATTCTCGAACTGCAAGTAGTGGTTTGTCTGAATTTGGGTGATTTAGAGTGTGACTTCATTTTCTTAGCTTAGTTGACCCTCTTGTATATACCACTGATGGGTTCGTTTCATTTACGAAGCTAAAAATGCCGCTTCTCTTTGTCTTATATTTCCCTTGTTTCATACTGTCTAACATTTAGTTTCTTGGGGCGAAATGTCTGATAATTTCTGTTTTGTTTTTTTTTCAGTTTGAAATATGAAATAAGGTAATCGAAGTTAGTTGATGATTACGGTAGATGTCGACAGCTGACTTTATCAAGGTAGATGACGTAAGGAATGTAGGCAAAGTATCCAGAATTTCTGTTTATATTTTTACACAAGCTAACGCGAGCTGTAGTCAACAAATCAGTGTATGTGAGAAAAAGACAGAGATTTTTGTTTGATTGCATGGAGGATTTCATCATGAGCTGACATCGTCTAGAGACCCACTGGAAAACCACCACTGGAGTACTGGACAGCTGTATTCCCCGCCTTAGTTTAGGACTCTTCATCAGTACACACCCAGTGGGGTTCGAACCCAGGACCTTCTGGTTACAAGGCCAGCGAGCTCGTAGACCATTGAGCCACTGGGATCCGATCCAATGGCTGGTGCATGAATTCTAACTTCTGCCAAATCACGATTAGGCGAAACCGCTGATGAAGAGTGCCAAACTAGGACGAAACAGCTGTACAGTACTCCCAAGTTTTCCAATGGTTCTCTAACTGATGTCAGCTCATAATGAAATCCTCCATCCAATCAAACAAATTCCCTACAAAACCAATACTTGAAAATTTATCTAATGCTCACTAGTTACTGGCCCTATTCAGGTAGCCAGTCACCTGGGGTTCTAGTGGGAAGCCATGACCAGTAGGGTACAGCAGGTTGAAGATGAGGCAGTAACTCATCGAAGAAGACATTGCGAAATGGTCGAACGATGTCGTGAATTGGCACAAATTAGAATTCAAAGGCCGTTGGATCGGGTCCAATTGGCTCAATGGTCTACGAGGCAGTTCGCCTTGTAACCAGGAGGTCGTAAGGGAACCATTGAAAAACAGCCACACGGAGTACTGGACAGCCAGCTGTATAATCAGACTAGTTTGGGAATCATCGTCATTACGCATCCATCACAGAGGGTTAGGACCCAGGACCTTCCGGTTACAAGACCAGAAAGCTGGCTCGTATACCATTCAGCCACTCACCATGACCTGATTCAGTGGCCAGTCAGTGCATGAATTCTAACTTCTACCAATTCGTGATTTAGCGCGACTGGCACCAACCAACCAATGTTATCGGTGGGAAATCCATCCTCACAATTGACTACTGGCTGTACCTCAGTGGTCACAACTACTCACTAGATTCCCGAACAAGGATGAAACACCTGACTGTTCAGTACTCCGTGTGGCTGGTTTTCAATGATTCTCTAACTGATATCAATCCGTGATCAACTCGTAAAAACGAAACTAACCCTTACAAACTGAACTATAGAAAATTATTCTGATGGGTCCTAGGTTCGAACCCTGGCTGTGTGGTGGGTGCGTACTGCCGACGATTCCGAAACTAAACTGATGAAACATCTGGCTGTCTGGCAGTACTCCCTGTGGCTGCTTTCCAATGGTTCTCTTTCTGATGTCAATCCGCGATCAACTCGTAAAGCTAAAAAGAATGAAACTCTACTTATTTACCCAAAAAGATTATTTTGAGTTTTCTGTCGAAATGGTCGGTATCTACACTGACACATTGGCTCTCATTACGACCGCTTCAACGATGTCTTCAAGCATACTTAGTGTGTCACTTGGTCGATGGTAGTGTTAGCAGTGGAACAAGGAGTTGTGTACGTTTCCTCCTATTTGTCACTCATCAGTTGGATGTACCTGCATCTCTTAGTGATAGAGCACAAAAACTAAGTATCGCCAAGGAATGTCTAAGACAGGAAGTGACACGTATAAGAGAAGCTTTGAAACTTATTTAGTAATTACCGTAATAAATTAATCAGAAAGCATGTAGAGAAATGTAAAAATAAAATATATAATGACAGTAGCGATAGTGATAATAAAAATTATAATATTAATGACGACATGCATGTCAAATCTGCGCAAGACAACACCAACAATAAGGAATCTAAATCACCAGTAGTTATTCCATACAAGGAAGGAACCTCGAAAACCACCTACCTTACGCAGAATTCTTAACAAGGAAGGAATAAAAGTGGCTGGAATACAAACCAACCACAAACTCAATTAGAAACAAGCTTTGTCGGTTGAAGGGTCAATCCTGTGGAGCCGTTAAAACAAAACAATTTAGTTTATCTAATACCCTGCTGCTGGAATGATTGTCAGGTCCAATACATAGGTAAAAGTAGTAGAACAGGGGCAGTCAGACTAACCGAGCATAAAAACCTAGCAGCAAAATCTAGATTGGTTGACCCGAATAAGATGAGAAATCTAGAGAATAGTTCATCTATACCACTCACTACATGCAGTTACACTCAACCATACACTAGAATGGGATAGGATAAGATGACAGTTTTAAAATCTAATGTCACAGGATGGATGGAGGGAGGGAGAGATTGATAACAACAGAATCGAATCAACTGCAAATAAACACGTGTAACAGGAATGATTCAACACCTGTCCGGACAGACATCTGCAAAATTCTACTACCCGGATGATGACGACAAATAGGAGAGGACAAAGAAAACTATAAAACTCAAGTTCTGAAGTCATGTGATTGTAATTGATGAAATGATTATGAACAGCAATAATGAATTGTGTTCGAAACAACTGTGTCATCCAGTAAATACTAATACTGTTTCACTGACTGACTGTGTGTGATACATCCGTCTAATAAACAAACTAATATGGAATGGTTCAGTGAAATCAGCTCTGTACAATGGTTATCCTGTGTCATAGGGGGTGGAGTGGGGGAAGTCGTGACCAGTAAGGTGTAAGAGAACACAGTTACTCGTCAATAACACTGGCTGGTGGGGTTGACCTATTCATCCATTAACCGGCAGAAAAAGGAAATCATGGCCCCTTTGGATCCAGTCCCAGTCTGGCTGAATAGTCTATGGGCTAGCTCGCCTTATATAACCAATAGGTCTTGGATTCACGCCTCAATGGGTGCGTGCAGATGAAGAGTCCCAAACAAAGACGAAACAGTTTTCCAGTACTATCTCTCTGATTTCAGCTCATGATCACAGCTGTAACCGAGTAAATTTAAAAAAACAAATTCTGCTAATCTCAATCACATGTTTGATGAGCCGTCGGTTCCGTATGGCGATTGCATAAGTGTAATTCGGTAATTTTATGTATCATTCCACTTACAGAAAGCAAGATATGGTGAAAAAACAAAAAAGAATGGACACTGAACAAAGAGTACTCTTTTCGATAAATTCATCATCAGGTTCTACAATTATATATACATTATAATGAATGAATGAATTAGTCTTATGAACGACATTAATGTCTAAATAACATCGAAACAATAATATTGGTAGATTACAGCTGAACAGCGTCAACATAAAATAAACTGAATGTCAGAAGAATTAGGAAAGATAATAGTACAAATTCATGAGTTTATAGTCTCTACTGAGGGCCAGCCAAGGCAGTAGTAGGGTCTGGACTTGTTTCTTCTGGACACAGAGCGCTGGTTGTGTTGAGGAGAATCGCAATAGCCTCTGCTGTTTGGAGCATGCAGTGCTTCGACGATTTTGGTAGTTTGTTAGGCACCCGGTATATTATGGAGAAGGATTCGTCTACGCTGGCTTTGTGACCAGTTTGCACCAGATGGTCTAATATTGAGCTTTTAATAGTTTTAACTACATCTTTACTTAGCCACAGTGGGAGATGTTCTCGAGTGAGCACGAAAAATCAAGTTCCTAGAGCAACAAAGGCCAATATAACTCGCTCCACAAGCGCACTTGAATTGATAAATACAATTTGAAGTGGCCAGCTAGTCTAGTCTAGGTACTTCACCTTTCAATCGAGGTAGCACCATCGGTCGTGTAGAGAATAAGACATGTAGTTCGCCGCTAGCATTAAAAGTTCCTTGAACTGATTTTCTTAATTTCCTCGTAATTAACTCGCTTGGTATATCGATCGCCCTTGAATTGTAGTCGTATATATAGAGTGGCTTCTTGTTTACAGATAGTGAGTAGTCCTTTTCCGCCGCTCTCTTTGTCATGTGTTTCTTGATAGCTATTTGTCAGGATAACCATTTTCGATTAAAGTATCATATACCATGCTTAATTTATCTTTAATTACCTCTTCGAAGCATATAGCTCTAACTCTGTGGCTAAGGGTCTTTACTAAATTTCTTTTGTGCTTGAGAGGAACGAAGCTGTGAAAGTGTGCATATTGTCCTGTCCAAATGCTTTTTCTATGCAAATTTCTTTTTATGCTACCGTCTAATGTTTTCTTGTAAGTAGAACATATAATTGTAGAACCTGATGATGAATTTATCGAAAAGAGTACTCTTTGTTCCGTGTCCATTCTTTTGAAAGTTATTTTAATGGGCATTTTTAATCAATTAAAAAACAAAAAGTTAAAATTCCATACACAATAAATTTTATAAACTACTCGTTAGTAAAAAAAAAATTTCTTTTTTGCAACACTTACCAAAAATATTGCGGCGCATATAAGCAGTAGTTTCATACGATAATCCAAATCTAAGGGGAAGTCGATACGGAAACTGTCGAACTCTTGATTCCACCGATGTATTATCCGTCCGATCGATTTATGATAGCCATGTGCATAAATCTGTCGGTTAAAAAAAGAAATTAGACAAACGAACGCATTAGATATCTCTAAAATTAAAAAATTAACGGTATTTCAATGAAAAGTTGACCCTCACTAATAAGTAGAGGCTTACTACTGAGACAATGCAAGAACTGGCGCGGAATTATGCTCCTGTCCATTCCAAGCAAAATACTAAGCTGCATCATCCTGGAGAGAATCAAACACGCCGACATGGATGAAAAAATTCGACCGGAACAGGCTGGCTAGATCCAGGGGAAACAAGTCATGCATTGATCAGATCGCCACATCACGGATCATCAATGAACAAAGCCTGGAATGGCAGTCACCTCTCTATCTTACTCAACTTCATCGACTTTAAAAAGGCCTTCGATAGTGCAGCGTCGATCGAGAGGTGATTTGGAAACTACTACGCTACTATGGGGCGCCACCGACAATTATACATCTCATCGAACAGCTGTAGGACGATGCTGCATGCCAAGTAATTCACAACGGGAAACCTACGGAATCTTTCGAAGAAGTGAAGATGGCAGTAAGACAGGGCTGGCTGGCTGCCTACTACCTCCTAATATTTTCCTAATTCCAGTAGATTGGATAATGCAACAGACAGCGACTGGCAGCGAGGAAACAGACAACAAATGGACTCACACAAAAACAACTGGGAGAATCTGGACTTCACCGACGTGATATATACGTCTGATTTCCCACAAACTGGAAGATATGCAAGTGAAAAGCAACAAGTTGGCAGAAGAAGCATCCAGAGAAGTTAGGACTTCAGGTGAGGTGAACGTAGAGAAAACAGAGGTGATGAAGAATCCTGGGAAACACCATCGACAGCAACAACAACAACAGACAACGATCAGCATAAGTGGAAGGACCCTGAAAGAAACAACCCCCTTTACCTAGCCACCGACATGGGAAGCATCGTTTTAACTACAGGCGGACACTACTGACGAGGATATCGAAGCAAGAATCGGAAAAGCAAGAAAAGCTTTCACTACTCTCAAGTCTGTGTGGAGGTCAACAGCGCTCAGCATCAAAAATAAGATCCGAATTTTCATTTCCAATGTGAATTCAGTGCTATTATACGGATCAGAGACTTGCCCAGCGCGTCATAAAGAAGAGGAAGTATATATAGAAAACCTACATCAACTGACTGTCAGTATACTCATTTTTACAGCTTCGTTCCCTTCTTGAAATACAAACGCAATCTGATAAAGTGCTTGGTCCACCACAGAGCAAGAGCAATCTGCTCGGATGAATGTGTTGATGGGGTACTTATCAATATAAAACGGTTGCTGAGCGAAAATGGCTATTAAGAAAAGTTAATTGATTAGAATATGAATCTAATATCAAAGCAACCCAAAGTACCAACAGTTCCGAAAAAGTAAGGCTTATTCTTACAAATGCAGTCCCTTGGAGACCACATCAGCGCCTTAGAAATGAGGCGGTAGAAAGAGCATTCAGTGCTGCTGTCGAATTACGTTGGGCCTTCAAAACCACCTAACCCTCTTTTGCGCTGGTTCGGGAGTAAAAGACAAACTGCCTAATTTCGCCTCTTCCATGTGTGTGTGTGTGCATCTACTAATTTAACTGCTGCTGTGGAGTGAGACAGTTACTTGCATAGGCCGTACAATCAGGCGTGTTTCTCGTCGAATTTGCCAACATCACCCACCCTTCACAGTGGTTGGTTGGTTAAGCAAAGGACAAACAAAATCCATCTATTCGCAGCGCTATTCTATCTCACTCATCTTCTTGTGGATACACAACACAAGACTGATTGATGTTAACCAGGCAGCTTTCAGTGTCATTCATCTAATACCAACTAACAAATCTCAATTTCGCCTTAAGAGTTCGACTACTGAATATTGCTGAGGCTGGCTGGCTGGATGTTGAGATCCAGATTAACAAGCCTAATTTGTGCATCCAAAAGAAGTTGGTTGGTTCAGACATTATCCATCCTTACCTGCTTGGCCATCTTGGTTTGAATGATCGATCCTGAATTTTTGTGGAATTTTCCTAATTTTAGTTGATATTCTATTTGCGTTATATCTTTATTATTATTTTTATTTAATCATCTTTAATTAACTGTGGTGATTCCATTGTGATCTTACTTTACAAATCGATATTACTATTTAAAAAGCACACACTGATATTGTTATGGACTACTAATCTAGAATATTCTATGTATATAAACATGCATATATAGATATAATTGTAGAGCGAGAAGAGGAGGAGGAATTTATCGAAGAGGATATTCTTTGCTGGCTCACTTATATTTTGTGTTTTATAGGTAGACGTCTGAATGAACATTTTCGCTATATTAAGTTTAAACGTTATGAAAGTACAATTTTTACAAATTTTAAGATAGCAATCCGGTTAGATTGTTATCATGGTACCCTCCCCGAAACAAGACAGAGCTGGGAAATAAGCGTGTTAGTTATGACTATACAACTTTAGAAAAAGAAATGCAATTGCATCAAAAACTCTTCATATCCTTTTGAAAGCTAATCGTGGTAAAACTGTAATGCAGAAAAAACTTATCCACTTGTTGCACACACACTTGTTTTGTCTTCAAAATACTTTCATAAGAAATTGCACTAAAAAAGATGAACTAAGCCAAACTTGGAGAATTAACCCACACTGTTTTTCGTATCGTTTCATTTCCTTCTTTCTCCACTCACTCAACACCAATAACAACAACAACTTTCGAGGTCTCATTCAATTCTTGTTATTATTGTTCCCTTAAATTCCTAGTGGAACATAGGGCTTCAACTACACGTCTCCACTTGCTGCTTCTGTCTTCTGCTGTACTTTTCACCTGCATCCATGTTAGTCCGTACTGTTTCAACTCCTCTTCACACGATCTCCTCCATGTCACCCTTGGACGTCCTACTACTCACCGCTTCCCCTTCGGGTTCCACTCGAGCGATGGTCTGACGCGCGATGTCATCCAGCAGAGGCCTCCTCAGCCAGCGAGTGTCCAATCCATCTCCACTTTCGCCTGCATATTTCTCGGGCGATTGGTTCTTGTTTCGTTTGTTCCCATAGTTTCTTGTTGGTTCTTGTTCTTTCCGGCGATCCAATCTTCAGTATGATGCTAGCGAAGACAGTTGTTGTTGATAAAGGTCTGCAACAGGCTATTGAAAATATTCTTTGTTACCCGCCGCCAAGTTTCTGATCCATCCGTATAGAAGAACTGACTGACTTGACGTTTGTATTGAAAATCCGTATTTTGTTGTTGATGCTGAGGAGTGACGAAGATTTCCAGATTGGTTTCAGGTTGATGAATGTGTTTCTCGCCTTCCCGATTCTCGATTTGACATCCTCGTCCATTCCTCCTGTAGTTGAGACAATGCTCCTTAGCTAGATAAGTGAATGAAGTAACCTCTTTCGAATCTCTCCCATTGATGGCGATTGGCGCTGGACGTTGATGCTGTTGTTGTTGTTGGTTGGTTGGTTATTTTCATAACAACTTTTATAGTGGAAGCTTTACTGACTAACACATGAAAACTAAGTTAGACTGACTCTGTACTATTATTCTTACGCAACTTGGATCTCATTGTTTTTACGAGTTGATCACGCACGGATTGATATCAGTTAGAGAACCATTGAAAACCAGCCACAGAGAGTACTGCCAGACAGCCAGCTGTTTCGTCAGCCTAGTTTGGGAATTATCGGCAGTACGCACCCACTGCATCGAAGTTCGAACCCAGGACGTTTCGGTTACAAAGTCAGCAAGCTAGCTGGCTCGTATCCCATTCAGCCACTCACCGGGATTCGATTCAGTGACCAGCCACTGCATGAATTCTAACTTCTACCAATTTGTCATGCATTTAGCGCGACTGGCACCAACTAATATCATCGGTGGGAAGTCCATACTCACACGTGACAGATATCTTCGATGGACCTCAATGGTTACGACTTCTTACTTGGACTGCAACAGGATGGAGTTTCCTGGAGTCAGTCAGTTCTAGTAAGAAGTCGTAACCATTGAGGTCCATCGAGATATCTGTCACGTGTGAGTATGGACTTCCCACCGATGATATTAGTTGGTGCCAGTCGCGCTAAATGCATCACAAATTGGTAGAGGTTAGAATTCATGCACTGATTGGCCATTGAATCTGGTCCTAGTGAGTGGCTGAATGGTATACGAGCCAACCAGCTAGCTGGTCTTGTAAGAGGAAGGTCCTGGTATCGAACCCTGGTGCAGTGGTGGGTGCGTACTGGCGATGATTCCCGAACTAGGCTGATGAAACAGCTGTCCAGTATTCCCTGTGACTGGTTTTCAATGCTTCTCTAACTGATATCAATCCGTGTGTGGTCGAACTCGTAAAAACAAAACTAACTCTTACAAACCAAACTATAAAAAAAGGTTTTTGTTTTTTCTAACGAACAAAAAACAAAACGATATTGTAAAAATTTTATATGGTTTCAAATCCCAAATATAACACCGAGAAATTGATAAAGAAGACATTATGGTAAGCTATGATATTAACTCATTATATAGTAGTATCCATATTAGCGAAAGTCTTTATATCATTTCCAGTCTTCTAGAATCAGATACAACGCTATCACAAAGATGTCCACTGGACACCATTCTAATAATTAAGAGCATGAAATTCTGTCTGGAAAGCAATTATTTTACACTCAAAGGGAGTTTATCTAGACAGGCAAATGGTGTTGCTATGGGTTCACCAGTCTCCACAATAGTGGCCGACCTTTTCATGAATAGATTCGAAAATAGCATCTTTTCAAATATACTCACTCCTAAAATATGGTTAACATATGCAGATGATACTTTTGTAGTGCTAAAACGAGGCAGATCTACACAGTTCATTCCTGCAGAAAATAAACTGCATATCTCCCAGAGGCAGACGGTGAGCTACCATTTCTAGACTGCCTGACTAGTTAAGAGGAGGGAAAACGGACATTTCTGTATATCCATATTCAGGAAGAAAACCCACTCCAACAACAAATATTTAGACTTGGGATCATCACAC